GGGGATTTTTGGGGGGAAATTTTGGGTGATTTGAGGTTTTTTGGGGTCTGCTGACCACCGAGTGGTCACTCTGCCATTGTCCACCCCAGGGTGACCCTGATGGCCAGCAGGAACTTCTCCAGGGGGATTTTTGGGGAGAATTTTCAGGTTTTTGGGGTTTGCTGATCACCGAGCGGTCACTCTGCCGTTGTCCACCGCAGGGTGACCCTGATGGCCAGCAGGAACTTCTCCAGGGAGATTTCTGGGGAGAATTTTCAGTTTTTTGGGGTCTGCTGACCACCGAGCGGTCACTCTGCCATTGTCCACCCCAGGGTGACCCTGGGGAGAATTTTCAGGTTTTTTGGGGTCTGCTGACCACCGAGCGGTCACTCTGCCGTTGTCCACCGCAGGGTCAGCCAACAGCACCGCGTCAACCTGATGACCAGCGAGAACCTGTCCATCTGCTTCTGGCCCACGCTGATGCGGCCGGACTTCAGCACCATGGACGCGCTGACGGCCACCAGGACCTACCAGACAATCATCGAACTCTTCATCCACCAGTGCCCCTTCTTCTTCTCGCTCCGGCCACCGCCGGACACGCCCGGCTCGCCCGGTCCCGCTCCGGCCACCGCCACGTCCTTCCCGCCCTTGCCGCCGTCACCTCCTCGGACGCCGTCGCCGCCGCCGCCGGAGCCGCTGGATCCCTGAGGGCGGCCTGGGGAGTGACCGCTGGGACGTCCGGCCGGACGCGATGCGGGGGGGGCTCGGACATTGCCGGGGACGTTTGTCCAGACTTTGGCCAGGCCGGACGGACGGACGGACGGATGGACGCGTCCGCCGCTGGGGAGGGGCTGGAAGAGGGTGAGGGTTGTCCATGCGGTGGCCTGAGGGTCATCCAAGGTAGTCCAGGGGTCATCCAAGGTGGCCTGAGGGTCATTCCAGGTGGTCCACAGTGGCCTGAGGGTCATTCCAGGTGGTCCACGGTGGCCTGAGGGTCATTCCAGGTGGTCCACGGTGGCCTGAGGGTCATTCCAGGTGGTCCACGGTGGCCTGAGGGTCATCCGAGGTGGTCCACGGTGGCCTGAGGGTCATTCCAGGTGGTCCACGGTGGCCTGAGGGTCATTCCAGGTGGTCCACGGTGGCCTGAGGGTCATTCCAGGTGGTCCACGGTGGCCTGAGGGTCATTCCAGGTGGTCCATGGTGGCCTGAGGGTCATTCCAGGTGGGCCAGGGTGGCCTGAGGGTCATCCGAGGTGGGCTGGAGTAGCCCATAGTGGCCTGAGGGTCGTTCCAGGTGGTCCAAGGCTCATTCCAGGTGGTCCAAGGGTCATCCAAGGTGGCCTGACGGTCATTCAAGGTTGGCCAGGGTGGTCTGAGGGTCATTCAAGGTGGTCCAAGGGTCATCCAAGGTGGCCTGACGGTCATTCAAGGTTGGCCAGGGTGGCCTGAGGGTCGTTCAAAGTGGGCCAGAGTGATCCAAGGTGGTCCACGGTGGCCTGAGGGCATTCGGGGGGGTCCAAGGGTCATTCAAGGTGGTCCAAGGGTCATGCAACATGGTCCAGGGTGGCCTGAGGGCATTCGAGGGGGTCCAAGGGTCATTCAAGGTGGTCCAAGGGTCATGCAGCATGGTCCACGGTGGCCTGAGGGACATTCGAGGTGGGCCAAGGTGGCCTGAGGGACATTCCAGGTGGTCCAAGGGTCATCCAAGGTGGTCCACAGTGGCCTGAGGGTTATTCATGGTGGTCCAAGGTGGTCCAAAGGTCATCCAGCATGGTCCAAGGTGGCCTGAGGGTCATCCAGGGTGGTCCAAGGGTCACTCAAGGTGGTCCACAGTGGCCTTGAGGTTCATGTCATCCAACGTGGTCCAAGGGTCACTCAAGGTGGTCCACAGTGGCCTTGAGGTTCATTCCAGGTGGTCCAAGGGTCATCCAAGGTGGCCTGAGGGTCATTCCAGGTGGTCCAGGGTGGCTTGAGGGACATTCGAGGTGGTGCAATGGTCATCCAACGTGGTCCAAGGTGGTCCAAGGGTCATCCAGGGTGGCCTGAGGGTCATTCAGGGTGGCTTGAGGGTCATTCACGGTGGTCCAAGGGTCATCCAAGGTGGTCTAAAGGTCAGCCAGCGTGATCCAGGGTGGCCTGAGCGTCATCCAAGGTGGTCCAAGGGTCATGCAAGGTGGGCCAGGGTGGCCTGAGGGTCATTCAGGGTGGTCCAGGTTGGCCCAAGGAGGCCCAAGGTGGTTGAAGGTCTGGCCAATGTCATGCAAGGTGGCCCCAGCTCCATCTGAGGTTGCCCAAGCTCCATCCCAGAAGATCCAGGGTGGCCCAACGTGGTCCAAGATGGCCCCAGGTTCTTCCAAGGTTGGCCCAGGGTCCGTCCCAGGAGATCTGAGGTGGCCCAAAGTCCATCCGAGGTGGCCCAAGCTCCATTTGAGGTTGCTCAAGCTCCATTCCAGGAGATCCAAGGTGGCCCAACATAGTCCAAGATGGCCCCAGGTTCTTCCAAGTTGGCCCAGGGTCCATCGCAGAAGATCCAAGGTAGCCCAGGGTCCACCCGAGGTGGCCCAGGATCCATCCCAGAAGATCCAAGGTGGCCCAAAGGTCCTTCTGAGGTGTCCCAAGCTCTATCCCAGAAGATCCAAGGTAGCCCAGGGTCCACCCGAGGTGGCCCAGGATCCATCCCAGAAGATCCAAGGTGGCCCAAAGGTCCTTCTGAGGTGTCCCAAGCTCTATCCCAGAAGATCCGAGGTGGCCCAAGCTCCATCCGAGGTGGCCCAGGATCCATCCCAGAAGATCCAGGGTGGCCCCAGCTCCATCCGAGGTGGCCCCAGCTCCATTCAAGGTGGCCCAACATGGTCCAAGATGGCCCCAGGTTCTTCCAAGGTGGCCCCGGGTCCATCCGAGGTGGGCCAGGATCCATCCCAGAAGATCCGAGGTGGCCCAAGCTCCATCTGAGGTGGCCCAGGGTCCATCCCAGAAGATCCAAGGTGGCCCAAGCTCCATCCCAGAAGATCCGAGGTGGCCCCAGCTCCATCCAAGGTGGCCCAGGGTCCATCGCAGAAGATCCAAGGTGTCCCCAGCTCCACCCGAGGTGACCCCAAGGCCACCAGAAGCCACCTGAGACCACCGGGGCTCCTCAGAACCCCCAGACCCAAAATCCCACCCAAAATTTGAAATTTTTTCCCCCAAAATTTGAAAATTTTTCTCCCAAAAATTCAATTTTTTTTCCTAAAAAAAATCGGGTTCTTTTCCAAAAAGTTCAGTTTTTTTCCAAGAAAAAAATTCAGGTTTTTTCCAAAAAAACCCAATGTTTTTTTCCCAAAAAAATCCAAGTTTTTTTCCCAAAAATATTTTCAATTTTTTTTCCCAAAAAAATCAGTTTTTTCCCAAAATAAATTCAATTTTTTTCCCCCAAAATTTGAAATTTTTTCCCCTAAAAATTCAGATTTTTTTTTCTCAGTAATTCAGGGTTTTTCCCCAAAAAGTGAATTTTTTTCCTAAAGAAATTCAGATTTTTTTTCCCCAAATATTCAAATTTTTTCCCCAAAAAATTCCGATTTGTTTCCCAAAACCCCCCAAATTTTTTACAAAAAAATTCAATTTTTTTCCCCCCCAAACCCCGAAATTTTTCCGCAAAAAAATCAAATTTTTTACCTAAAACCGATTTTTCTCATGAAAAATCCGATTTTTCCATTGAAAGTTTTTGGGGGAATTTTGGGGAATTTTGAAACCAAAAAAAGTGAAAAAAATAGGAAAAAAATTCAGAAATTTTCCCAAAAAATTGGGGTTTTTTTCCCCTAAAAATCTGATTTTTCAGGGGGGATTTTCACACAAAAAAAGGTGAAAATTGGGGGAAAAAATGCCAAAAAAATCAATATTTTTCCCCAAAAATTTGAGGTTTTTCCATGAAAAATCTGATTTTTCAGCTGGAATTATAAAGTGAATTTTGGGCAATTTTGTCACACAAAAAATGTGAAAAAATTGGGGGAAAAAAACTCAAAAAATTCCAATTTTTCCCCATGAAAAATCCGATTTTTCAGGGGGAATTTTGGGGAACTTTGACACCAAAAAATGTGAAAAATTTGGAAAAGAAATTCAATTTTTTCCCCCAAAAATTGGGGGGTTTTCCCCTAAAAAAATCCAATTTTTCAGCTGGAATTTTTGGGTGAATTTTGGGTGATTTTGACACCAAAAAAAGGTGAAAAATTGCAAAAAAATGCCTCCGGAGGGAATTTTGTTGCCGGGAGGGGAAAACCGAAGGAAAATCCTCCCAAAAATGGGAATTTGGAGCCGTTTTTCCCCCAAAAAAAGAAAATTTCGGGGCCATTTTCCCTCCTTTTTGGCAATTTTGGGGATTTTTTTGGGTTTTTTTCTTGTGGATTTTGGGTTTTTCCCCCCGATTTTATTTTTTTGGGATAATCCCTAAAAACAAAGATGGCAAATGGAGGAATTTTGGAGGCGCCGTAAGTTATTGTTGGGGTAATTAATAAAAATTTGGGCTGGGGTTTTATTGGGGTTTAATTGGGAATTGGGCTGGGATATAATTAATTGGGATTTAATTGGGAATTGGGCTGAGATTTAATTGGGAATTAATTGGAAATTGGGCTGGGATATAATTGGGATTTAATTGATTGGGGTTGGAAAATTGGGAATTAATTAGGATTGGAAAATTGGTATTTAATTGGGATTTAATTAGGAATGGGGACTGGGAGTGGACTGGGGTTTCATTGGGATTTAATTGGGAATTAATTGGAAATTGGGCTGGGATATAATTGGGATTTAATTGATTGGGGTTGGAAAATTGGGAATTAATTAGGATTGGAAAATTGGTATTTAATTGGGATTTAATTAGGAATGGGGACTGGGAGTGGACTGGGGTTTCATTGGGATTTAATTGGGAATTAATTGGAAATTGGGCTGGGATATAATTGGGATTTAATTGGAAATGGGGGTTGGCAAATTGGGGTTTAATTGAGATTTAATTGGGATTGAACTGGGATTTAATTGAGATGGAACGGGGATTTAAATAGGAATTAATTGGGATTTAATTAGGAATTGGGACTGGGTGTGGACTGGGGTTTCATTGGGATTTAATTGGGAATTGGGCTGGGAAAATTAGGATTTAATTAGGATTTAATTGGGCTGGGATTTAATTGGGAATTTGGGTTGGAAAATTGGGATTTAATTGGGATTTAATTGGGAACTGGGCTGGGAATTAATTGGGAATTGGGATTGGAAAATTGGGATTTAATTGGGATTTAATTGGGAACTGGGCTGGAATTTAATTGGGAATTAATTGGGAATTGGGATTGGAAAATTGGGATTTAATTGGGATCTGGACTGGGATCTAATTGGGATTTAACTTAAAATTAAGTGGGGTTTAATTGGGACTGGGACGGATTGGACTGGGATTTAATTGGGATTTAATTGGGAAATGGGCTGGGATTTAATTGGGAATCCTCCCCTTCCCCAACCCCAGACCACGCCCCTTTTCTTATGACCACGCCCATTCAAAGCCTCATTAATATTCATGACCACACCTCTTTGTGATAACCACGCCCCTTCCCACCCAAAATGGCCGCCCACAGCCCCGCCCCATGACCACACCCCTCTGCACTCCCATTGGCTGAGCCACCTGTCAATCATAGCGGCCCCGCCCCCTCCCTCAAACCCCGCGCTCTGATTGGCCGCCGCCATTTCCCCACAAATGACCAAAACCGGAATTTTCCACCTGAAAACGCCTTTTGGGGCTGGGGGAGGGGCCAGCGGGGCCACGCCCCTTTAGGCACCCCAAGGAGCGCTCTGATTGGCTGAATGATTAAGCCACGCCCCGCAAAGCCACGCCCCCTTGGGACCCCACCTAGGGCGGGGCTGGAGGATCCAGGGGAGAAATTTGGGAATTCCGGGAGGAATTTTGGAAATTTTGGGATAATTTTGGGAATTCCAGCAGAAATTTGGGGAAATCTGGAGGAATTTTGGGATTTTTGAGAGGAACTTGGGGATAATTTGGGAATCCCAGTTGGAATTTTGAGATAATTTTGGGAATTTTTGGGTATCCCAACTGGAGTTTTGGGATAATTTTGGGAATCCCAGCTGGAATTTTGGGATAATTTTGGGATAGTTTTGGGAATTTTTGGGTATCCCAACTGGAGTTTTGGGATAATTTTGGGAATCCCAGCTGGAATTCTGGGATAATTTTGGGATAATCTGGAGATTTTTGGGATAATTTTGGGAATCCCAGCTGGAATTTTGGGATAATTTTGGGATAATCTGGAGAGTTTTGGGATAATTTTGGGAACCCCAGCAGGATTTAGAGATAATTTTGGGAATCCTGGGGGGAATTTTGGGATCGTTTTGGGAATCCCAGCTGGAATTTTGGGATAATTTTGGGATATAATTGGGGGGTGAGTAATCGGGGTTGGGAAATCAGGGTGTAATGGGGAAAGGCCGGGGTTTGATTGGGATTTAATTAATTGGGGTTTTGTTGGGAAATTGGGGGTTAATTGGGAATTAATGAATTAATTAATTGGGGGTTAAGTAATTGGGGTTGGGAAATTGGGATGTAATTGGGAAGGGGCTGGGGTTTAATTGGGATTTAATTAATTAATTGGGGGTTAAGTAATTTGGGTTGGAAAATTGGGGTGTAATTGGGAAAAGGCCGGGGTTTAATTGGGATTTAATTAGTTGGGATTTTATTGGGAATTGGGATTGGGAAATTGGGGGTTAATTGGGAATTAATTAATTAATTGGGGTTGGGAAATTGGGATGTCATTGGGAAGGGGCGGGGTTTAATTGGGATTTAATTAGTTGGGATTTTATTGGGAATTGGGATTGGGAAATTGGGGTTTAATTGGGAATTAATTAGGAATTGGGCTGGGGTTTTATTGGGGTTTAATTGGGAATTGGGCTGGGATATAATTAATTGGGATTTAATTGGGAATTGGGCTGAGATTTAATTGGGATTTTAATGAAAATTAATTAGGATTGGACTGGAATTTAACTGGGATTTAACTGGGGTTTAATTGGGAATTAATTGGGAATTGGGCTGGCATTTAATTGGGATTTAATTAATTGGGATTTTATTGGGAATTAAGGTTGGGAAATTGGGAGTTTAATTGGGAATTAATTGGGAATTGGGCTGGGATTTAATTGGGGTTTAATCGGGAATTAATTGGGATTTAATTGGGAA